GGGACCCAGCCGGGCCTTTGAGAGTCCCACTGGTGCCTATGTTCTCTGAGGGCCCATGTGTATGGATATTTGATAACCCTATACATAGGTCTCCGAAGGGCCACACAGATGTTTCAGGACGCCTTTAATGATTTCTGAGTCAGGAGGTCAGGACCCGCTAAATATGTGGTAGTTTGATGCTTATTTGTGATGGTCTAATTCCTACATTTGTCCATGCCTACACATATTTGTCCATTAGCCTATACAGTGTACAGTGTACAGTAGGTCTATTAAAAAAGTCCCCAGCACCAGTGGGCGCTGCCTTCGCTGAGCCGAACCCCCGTCTGCCCGTCCCATATCGCGCCGGGCTCAGGTCAGGTAGGGTCAGCGGGACCGCTCGGTCCGGCCCGCGGGCGGTGGACGGGCGGCCGGTAACGCTTTCCGCCAGCCAGCTGTAGAATCCAACAAACGGGACGGCCAACGCTCAGCGCAGCGAAACCGGTGTTAAAGAATGGCAGTAGATGTTCATGGCCACAATGATTATGAGATAGTCATTGTTAGCCCGTGCCCCACAGGAATGCCTAGACTCTCACGCCCTGTTGGAGGGAAAATGGGGATTCAGCATCATTCTTATAACTCAGCTTTGGGCATTTAAGTGGTATTCGAAGTAGCGTCAAAAGTAGCAAAAAGAAGAAAAAATACTTCAGCCAATTTTAGATCGGGTCAGAGCCAGAGGTCATGTCACCAGAGGTCATCGATGTTAAAATTTTGCTTGGATAGGGTGCGTTGTGCACACCGGCGCATTGGGTTTCCAGTTTCCATGGAAACATCAACAGACTCGGAAGCTCGTAGCTAGCGTGGAGCCGAATTCATCTCAACCGCCGCAACAATGCAGCAGCGCGGGGCCGTGAAAGACCGCCCAGGGCTATCCATGTGTCAGGGCAATCCAACCCACGTGATGGGCTCGGCCCCAGCGGAGCATGAGGCCCAGGACTCCCGCCCAGGCCCCCTGTCTCCCCCTAATTCCTGTCATCCTTCCACTCTGAAATCAACCGAAAGAGCCTAACCTAACACAACAAGCAGCTTGTTTACCGCTATGTCTGAATAATATTGTCAGATTTAATTAAGGTCAACGGCTAGCACGTAAATAACAGCAACTGCCAACATCGGTATTATGAGAAAACCAATTGCTTTTCCACAAACACTAAAAGTTTTAAGCTAAACTTGCATGAAATTAATTTTACCAGCCTCGTGTTCCTCTTATCAAAACGCTTCGAATGAATCAAAAGTTGATCTTTAACCCTATTAGTGGCAGGCTCCTGGCTACCCCCTATTAGTGGCAGGGGGGGGAGGGCTGTTTACGACCCCCCCTTGATATCTCGAGATCTAACGGGCCGATTTTCAAAATTCAAACGGCATTCGATTTCGCTCAACGTGATCTACATTTCTAAAAAATAAAAATTAAAAAATGTCAATAGGGGGGGGGGGGGTAGAGGGGGGTAAAAACGGGCAAATTGCAGATACATTTTAGACTGTTTATCAAGGCCAGGTTTCTGAACCAATCTTAACGCAACTTTTGCCGATCGATAGAGAATGAACCAGGAATTCACATGGATCCTAAAAATATGCATTTTCAAAAATCATAGGCGGATACAGATCATTGAGATTGGGGGTACACAAAAAGTATAGTAAATAAGGTTTTTGTTGGTACTGTTTCTAAAAAGGGTGGTAATGGTCTTGTTATGTTATAATTTTCTTATGAGAGAACGACTAAAATTGTATTGGTAATGCATAGGCGGTGTCAGGGCACCTATGTTGGGAGGTAAAACATAACCCCCCTTTTTGGACGCCTGGATCCGCCTATTATAGCAAAAACGTGTCAAAAGAGGATGCACAATAACTGTATATGTTATCACATGATACCTTTCATTCACTGTTCGTAAAACTGGTGCAGCATCGTGATCTTCGCCCAAATGACTCGCTTCACGAATAGGACCCCCCAATTCCCAGTGCTCTGGAGCCGCCCCTGGTAAAGTTATGAACTTGAAATTTTCAGGGAATGTGCCCAATTTAGTTTTAGGAAAAGTCAGAAAATTTCAGCATCGTAGCTTTAGCGGTTTCGGAGATATTCCCGAAAAACCTGAGGGGTGGATAAAAACAACCCCCCCTGCCACTAATAGGGTTAAAGGTCATTTGAAGAATTTGGCCTATGTTCAAAGACATGACCTGACCAGAAATGGTCATGATGCATAGCAGGATTTTAGCTCCGTATCGTGGAACTTTACAAACACTTTAAATGATTTCATAACTTAAATTTCTATCAAAAATATTTATTACATGGCTCATGTGTAAGCTGGGTGTGTGATCATGCTTACGAGTATGTTGAACGCAACTGATAATGTTCTGTTGGCCACAATTTCTATATTTAATTTATTCACCCGGATTTCATTTTCTTATTAATGACACCTTGACGATGTCGAGAAAAAAAAAACGTTTAGGAGATTTAACAGCCTGAGATACATTCAGTATAAGGAAGGGTCAAGGGTGCTAGATTCCTTCCGTCCTCGCTATCCTCAGGAAAAACCAATCCGCATCGCCCCTAGTCTTCATGCTTCCCTCTCTGGACTGGAGGTCACCCCACCAGCCAACCTGTAGTTGATGTCGGCTCCAGGACACATAATCCTCTTCGGGTGACCGTTGGGAGACGGCTGGACCGCCCCGACAGGGCCATCGTCCCACGGGAACAGTGACGCTTCCGCAGATCACTGTCGCTGGCTCGCACTACCAAATTACTACACCAGAGCATAGTTATGTCATAGCTCTGCAAGGGCCTTCTCAGACCCAAAAATATGGCTCCCAACAAAACAAACAACTTTCTCATTCAGTACTGTATCTCATTAAGACACCACATGTTTTCAGAGTGTTTATGATGTGTTCCGTCCAAAAAAGCGCAGTTTCAACTTTCTCCCATTGACTTTAGCGATCTCAAAATTGACCCGACCTTTCTGTCAGCAATGTGAAACTTGCAAAGTAAACGTTTCAAATACATATATGTATTACTGCTGCCCATTGAAATCGCTGAAGGTTCTAAAGCGATCGGTTAGTCGATGTATTTAGATATGATGAGCACAGGAACTTTCCTTGAGGTAAGGTCACTTGACGTGACCTGGTGTTATGACCTTGAATTGAAAGACTTGGGCGGGAAAAAATGAGTTATTTGAAATCTTAAAATGTTAGATTTTAACAATAATTGCAAACACTATCCCGGCCAAATAGTGAGTGAGAAGGGAGCGATTCCCCAACCCCATGTTTAGCTCTTATAATTGAGCTAACTGCTATAGCCTCGCGGAAAAAAACGAGCGCTTGCGTCGTTACGTGACGCAGCGACTGTTATCCCATTTTAAAATATCAGTGACCTCTTAGGGCAGGTCAAGGGCCCCAAGGCATAGTCCATTGATGGCTGTCCCGACTGGCTAGCTCATTTTGATCGGGAGTTATTGACGAAGCACTCCTATTGACGAGCACTCCGTCACGCAAGGTGAACAATGCAAAAGTGAAGCATTAAACCTTGCCAAGAATGTATGAAGTCACGATTTCATGTGCTTGAGGTATAGTTCTAGGTCATTTCCGACGACAAATTAACAGTTTCCATATCTTCCCATTATGCTTATATGACACTAAGTGCATCACGGATTTGCATCATTTTATAACCGACAACCGTGCAGTCTGCTGAGGTTTACGTCAGAGGTTGACGTCATAGTTAAGTGACCTGACATGAAAACGTGGTTGATTTCAAATGATCCGGCTTGAATCAAACGTAAGGCATATGAAATGTCAGCCTTCTATCATCAGTGTGCTTTGAGCTACCGCAAAAAAAAAATACATGGTGGCGGCATCCACCCCTTCTTCTCGGCCGGCGAGGGTTAAACCTCGCTTCGAATTATTGCAGATAATGATGCGACCGAAAACAAAGCATTTATCTGTGTCTAGAACGACCGCTGACAGTTGTTGGACAAGATCCCCAATCTTAATTTGCTAGATGGGATATATATATATATATATATATATATATATATATATATATATATATATATATATATAGATATAGATATATATAGATATAGATATAGATATAGATATATATATATATATATATATATATATATATATATATATATATATATATATATATATATATATATATATATATATATATATATATATATATACCCATTGATTTGCCCTCGCGCTAAGTCAATTCTTATCATCACTGTCGCTTTTTTATCCGAGATGATGTCGCCGCTAAACGGGTTGTTTTGTTTGCTTGCTTGCGTTGAATGGTCATTACGGATTATTGGAGGATTATGATATAATAGGAATGGGGCAAGGGAGGATATGCACTGCAGTGCAGGTGTTTAATTTAGATCACAAAGCCATCATTTCCGGCATCGTGCAGAGTCACTATCTTCCCCTCCTCTGCACTGCGGCATTTCTGCGCTCCACACACGGCGTCCTCACTCCACGGCCGGCCGCCGCCAACTGACCCACTCGCCGGGCGCCGCGACCTGACCCGTGTCACTGCCGCGGCCTGCGCAATAGAGTCGGGGCTGGAATCCGGGGGTTCGGCCGGCCGGCCGCCTCTGGAGCGGGGGACTTTTTTAGTAGACCTACTGTACAGCTTGTGCAATGTGCATGACCTGACATACTGTGTGATGAGAAACTTTATTCTTAAATTTTAAGCCATTAAAAGTGAGAAGGATGGGGATCAGATGATCCCTTTCACTCACCTACTTAAAGTGGAGCACAGAATGTCTCTGTGCTAGTTTAGATATACATTCTCATCAGAAGTTGAGAACCAATGAGCAGTTGAGTGCAGGAGCCAGGAGGGGTTCAGATTCGGCATTTTGCTATATGAAATCCTGCTCAAATAACTTAGCTAAGGGATGGACCAGTCCAGTTGTGACATTGATTGTGTACTGTGCAGTGTATACGATTCTATCCTAACAGCTGTCATTTTTCAGGGCCTGCTGAGCCATGGCTGAGTTTGTGCAGAAGCGGCTGGAGGAGCTGCTGCCGGAGCTCGAGCAGCTGGAGCGCGTGCAGCTCTTCACCAAACCGGAGGTGCGCGCAGTCATCAAGAAGCGAAAGGAGTTCGAGTACCGGCTGCAGCGCAAGCGGAAGTCGCTGGACGACTACACACGCTACATTGAGTACGAGAAGAACGTCCTGCAGCTGATCTGGAAGCGCCGAGAGCGGCTCGGCTACAAGCACAAGCAGGCAGACATCGACCACAAGATCGTGACCCGCATCTGCCAGCTGTACCGAATCGCCACCATCCGGTTTAGCGACAACGTGCAGCTCTTCCTGTCGCACGTGGACTTTTGTCGGCAGATGAAGCAGCTGGCGCAGGGCAGCCGCGTGTTCCAGCGCCTGCTGCGCACGCACGCGCACCGCGCGGACGTCTGGGAGGCGGCGGCCCGGTACGAGATGGAGGACAACAACAGTCCGGAGACGGCGCGCCGGCTGTACCTGCGCGCGCTGCGCCTGCACCCCGAGTCGGCGGCCCTGTGGACGGCCCACTTCCGCATGGAGCTGCAGTACGTGGACGTGCTGCGTCAGCGGCAGAGCCTGCTGGGAGTGTCGGAGAAGGGCGCGGCCGGGGAGGGAGAGGACGGAGAGGGGGCGGACAGTGACGGGCAGGACAGTGGCGGCGAGGACGGCGGGAGCGGAGAGGAGGAGGAGGAGGACAGCGACGAGCCCAAGAGGAAGAGGCGGAGACGGAGCCGGCCGGGCTCTGACCCGGTGCTCCAGGGCGCCGTGGCGATGGTCGTCGCCCGACAGGCCATCGCGCGTCTGCAGGAGGCGGACCCCAAGGCGGACCCGTGCCGGCTGCTGGCCGCCCTGCTGGCCCAGTGCCGGCCGTTCGAGTTCGCCGCCGGCCTCGAGGCCCAGCTGCGCGCCGAGCTGCGCGACTGTTTCCCCGAGCACGCCCTGACGTACGACACGCTGGCGCGCGAGGCGCTGAGCGGCGGCCGGGCGCCGGGCCGCCTGCGCGCCCGCCTGGAGGCGTGCTGCGCCGTGTACGAGGAGGGCCTGTCGGCCGCGCCGGCCGCTGACCTGTACCCACTGTACGTGAGCTCGCTGGTGGAGGCGGCGCGCGCGGCCGCCCGCCACCGGCACCTGGTGCTGCCGCGCCTGGAGGCGGTGCTGGAGCGCGCGCTGGAGGCCGGCGCCGCCACCGAGGGGGCGCTGCTGCAGGCGGCCGCTCTGTACGCCGAGCTGGGGCTGACGGAGCGGGCGGCGGCCGCGCTGCGGGCTGGCACAGAGCGGTTCGGCGCCTCCGTGCCGCTCTGGGACCAGCTGATACAGGTGGGTGCCGGGCTGAGGAGCGGCTCATACAGGTGGGTACCGGACTGGGAGCGGTCTCTCCAGTATCTATTGATCTTCGAATACTATTTTCTAGCGGGCATCAAATATGGGTTCATTTCACTTATTAGGTACCGCTTTTCGTCAATATTCAGCTGTCAGCATATTTACTGGGTTTGGAGACTCGGTGAAGTGCTACTAATGTGTTTTATATTACTTTTCCCTCCCCGCCCCCCCCCCCCCACAGGTGCTGTCGGCCGCTGGGTTGGTCCACTGCTCACTGTCCGTTTATGATGTCCCTCTGACCCCCCCCCCCCCCCGGCAGGTCCTGTCGGCCGCCGGGTAGATCCACTGCTCACTGTCCGTTTATGATGTCCCTCTGACCCCCGCCCCCGGCAGGTGCTGGCGGCCGCCGGGTAGATCCACTGCTCACTGTCCGTTTATGACGTCCCTCTGACCCCCGCCCCCGGCAGGTGCTGGCGGCCGCCGGGTAGGTCCACTGCTCACTGTCCGTTTATGACGTCCCTCTGACCCCCGCCCCCGGCAGGTGCTGGCGGCCGCCGGGTAGGTCCACTGCTCACTGTCCGTTTATGACGTCCCTCTGACCCCCGCCCCCCGGCAGGTGCTGGCGGCCGCCGGGGACGGTGACGGCGTGTGCGCGGCGTTCGAGGCGGCCGCCGTGGCCGTGCCGGACTCGGCCGCCGGCTGCGGCGCGCTCTGGCTGCGCGTGCTGCAGTGGGCGGCCGCGCACCGCACCACCTACGTGGAGCGGGTGTTTGGCGCGGCGGCGGTGCGCTCGGCGGCCGTGCTGCGCCCTCTGAAGGCCGCCTACCTGCGCTGGCTGGCCGAGCAGCACGGCCTGGAGGCGGCGCGCCGCATGTTCTCCGAGCACCAGCTGCGGCCGCCCGTGGACGCCGACCTGTTCGCCGCCATGGCCGAGCTGGAGGAGCGCCAGCGGCCCGTGGACGTGGCCCGGCTCCGGGACGTGTACCGCACCGCGTGCCGACACGTGGGCGACGACCGGCTGGACCTGTGGATGGCCTACGTGCGGTTCGAGCGGGAGCGCGGCTCGCCAGAGCTGGCCGCCGGCGTGTACAGACAGGCAGTGGCCTCTCTGCGGCCCGAGCAGGCCGACCAGTTCGTGGCGCAGCACGCCAAAATGGTGGCCAATGTTGTGGAAGGGGACGACTGACTTTATTAGGGCGGGGGGGGGGGGTACAGTGGATCAATACATTATTTGGTGCATCAACTGGTTTCTGTTCAGTTGGAAAACATAACCTTGCAATACGTTAGTACCCATAAGGTATAGTCGAGAAATGAACTAGGATCGCAGGATTCAGAGTCCTGAATCTCTGCTGGAGCTCCCAAGCCTCGTTTGTTGCACCCCCTCTCCCCCCCCCCCCCCCCCAGATTGCAATAAGGTTCGTTCAGCTTCACTATCCATTGGCTTGAACTCTGCTTTGACAAGCTCCACGCCTCCATTCGATCGTCCCTGCGAGGGTAGGGGGGCGAGGCCTCAGGATTTGTGCCCAACAGGGAAATGTTATGGAAAGATTGCCATATGACATTTGGCAGCATTTACGATTCTGGCGCAACGAAGACTTGCGGTTGTCAATATTTTTGCCCCTTAGGAGAAGGTAGGGTTAAAGGGACCCTCCCACCTTCAAAAAAGTTAATGAATTGGCATGAAAGTGATGTCGCTCGGTTCAGAAAGAGCAAAAACGAATATCTACCAAATTTCATCAAAAAATATTCACCGGTTTTCAAGATATTAGACTTTTACTTTTGTTTACTTTTTGGGATCTCCGCTGTTCCTAGCGACTTTATTTGAAAGTGCGGCATTTGTTGCGCGCAAAGCAGCATATACCGGACGTGCCTCGCGAGCTCCTGCGGCGTTGCTGGGTATTGCTCTTCTCTTGCTCATCCCCATCCTCAAGCATTTCCACCGGCCACCCTCACAAACAGGACACAATTTTTTTACATAGTTCATTGCGTGAAAAACAATGACTTTGCAACATTCACCACCACCAAAAAAGAAACACTTAACTCAACCACTAGGGTCGTCGGCGTCTGCGGTATCTGGGGCTGCGGCGCAATTGTCGTCGGTTGATAACACGGGAAGTATGGCGAGTTTGCAATCCACGCAGCCGATTTGTGAGGTTGATATTGCCACGGATATTGCAAGTGGTGGTGTGCCCGAGAGTGAGGGAACCTCATCGGCGCAGGAGGAAGTGGTGAGTTGTGCTGGGGAAAAAGGTAGGGACATAAAGCGCCTGGACAGTGATGTCTACAAACCATGGGGTTCACGTTCCAGATCCAACAGCGGGACATGCAGTAACGGGGAAGATGGAGATGCTACATGCAAGGGTGGACCGGGTAAAATGACATGTGGAGAAGAGGTCAAAGATGGGGGCCCGGGCGTGCAATGTGATGTATGCTTGGGCTGGTTTCATCCGGAGTGTCAATCGATTCCCAAGGCAGCACATTCCGCGTTGAAGAGGTTCAAAATCCTTTCTTGGATCTGCGCTGCATGTAAGCAATCGTTCGTTAAAGGAGGAGTGCAGAAGGGTTCGGAGCAGGCAAGTGCGAGTAAGATTGCACACCTAGAAACAAAGGTCGAACACCTTGAGGTTGTCATCAAAGAGTCTCTCCAGGAGATACATGCATCAATGGTTAGGCATGCCGAAACAGCCAGTGCCCAGTCAAAACACGTCGAGCAGGCAATCCAGGCAGTAGAACTCCAAGAGAACACATATGCGCAGGACGTAAAAGGTACTTGTAATGACATGGTCAAGCAGGTTGCAGCTCGGATAGATGCAATCCAGCTCCCAACTACACCACTGACACAGGACACCAATAATGACATGCTCTCTCGACTTACCATCGCAGTACAGTCAATCCAGTCAATGATTGAGGATCATGCAAAGTTACTAGTTGAGTCCAAAAAGACTCTTGAAACTGTGGCACAGGAACAGGGTCAACAGAGGGCCACCTTTGCAGAGGTCGTAAAGAGACAAGAGGGAAGGACCCTGCAAATCTCTGGCGGGGCTGGGGGTCAAGATCAAGATCCAGTCCCACAGACTCATACTGACTACAGACAGATCATGAGGTTAGAACTCAAAGAGATGGAGGAGAGGAAAAAGAGGGTATCATCTTTGGTAGTACGAGGTTTGCGTGTTGGATCGGCTGGTGAGGCAGCCACAAAGTTTGGGGAGGTAATCTATGCTCTCACTGGGGAGCGCACAACCTGGACTGAGGTGTGCCGAATCAGGACCGACACAGATCTGTTCAGGGGAAATGTCCGCGACAATCGCATGAGGAGGCTGATCCTGGAAAAAGCAAAAACTCTGAAGGACTCTCAGTACTCACACATTTTCATTAAGCGTGATCTTACCTTCCTCCAGAGACAGGAGCTGAGGGCCAGATACCCTCCTCGTTCTCCACGTCCGGGGCCCATTGCTCCTCGGTACCAGGAGACAGTTCCTAAGCAGGTGATGTCTCGCTTGGGGACATCACCTGTTCCAGCCACGGCCGACCCCTCGCATGCAGCTTGTGCAGCGCCGGGCGCCGACCAGGGGAACCGTGTTGATGGGCAAAGGTTCCCCCTTCCAGAACGCGAGGGAAACTGATTTGGAAAGGTGAAGCTCCGCGGACATATACAGTACAAATAGCATGTTGCAATGTGAATGGCTTAAGCAGTAAGGTCGGACTACTGCCAGACTTTCTTATTGATCCATTTCAGACCGATCTTTTACTGATAACTGAAACCCATCTTACACCACTAGTATCGGATGCCACTATAGCTATCCCTGGTTATTTGCTTTTCCGTAATGACTCAGGAAGCACGCCTAAGCATGGAGTGTGCATGTATGTCCGAGAATCTTTCAAGGTTGACCAGGTAGATTCCTCCCAAGACAACTGTCTTTTGCTGAGACTAGCAGATTGTGATATCTATGTATATGTGGTGTACAGGCCCCCTTCTAACTCTCACGCTCAGAATCAGATTCTGGCAGACTTTATTCTCCACAGTTGTGCAGACAAGGAGGTTGTCATACTTGGGGATTTCAACCTGCCTTCCATCACATGGTCCCCAACACATTCTGAAACCACACATTCAGCAGTCGAGAGAATGTTTATTGACACATTTAACACAATAGGTCTCACACAATGGATATTTGAGAGCACCTTTCCAAGATCAGGCAACATACTCGATCTGTTGTTAACTTCTGAGGTGGATAGGTTAGGAGCGGTTCAAGTCCACGCGCCTCCACCAGGCTGTGATCATTGTAGCATCCACTGTGATTATGTCTTTGATGTAGACAGAGAGGCAGCCTTGAAGGGCCACTGCAGAGTGCTGTGGCATCGTGGCCACTATGGAGCGATCAATGCGGAGCTGGAGGGCATTGACTGGGGAACAGAATTCTCACAGCTTTCCTCGCACGAAGCATTCACAAAATTGCTGTCCATCATGAACCCACTCATAGACCGACACGTTCCAAGAAGGATGCACGACACTAGACCAATGAAACCCCCCTGGAAGTCAAACCCTCCATCGTCTTTGAAGCGCCTGCGTAGGGAAGCATGGCAAGCTTACAAGGATATCAGATCCATGCTTGGCAGAAAGTCGCCTGAGACGTGCTTGGCACTGAAAACATTTCTCGAGACCAACAATAACATACGATCCTACGCTCATAGGTCCCAGATAGAGTACGAAAGGTCACTGATAGCAAGATCCAAAGCAAATCCGAAACTTCTTCACTCTTACATGAGACATAAAAAGCAATTCCGCTCCTCCGTGGGTCCACTGCGCATGGACCCAAACACCATTTCTGATGATCCGGGGGAAATGGCAGACTGTCTTCTTCGTGCTTTTGCTGACATTCACACTGCTGCGGTGCCGGAGGAGCCGGCTCCTCATCAGCGTTGCGAGGCCGCACTTAGCGAGATCGAGTTCGGCCCCTCTGACGTACGCACACTGCTCACCGGTCTAGATCCAAACTCAGCCATGGGACTGGACGGGCTGCACCCAAGACTGTTGAGGTCTTGTGCCAATACCCTCACCAGTCCCTTGTATATTATCTTCCGTCGGTCCCTTCTAGAGGGGAAGCTTCCTCGAGCCTGGAAGTCATCACTGATTGTGCCTATCTTTAAGAAAGGTTCCCGTCACGACCCTCAGAACTACAGGCCGGTTGCACTGACGTCAGTTGCTTGTAAGAGTCTTGAGAGATTGATCTTCCGTGGACTTTATGATTACTTCTGCGAAAATGCGATTCTCTCTGAGGAACAGTTTGGTTTCCGTCCAGGTCGCTCCACGGAGGACCAGCTGATTCTCACTTATGATGAAATCACTAGCGCGCTTGACTGTGGCCATCCTGTCGACCTCATCATGTTCGATTTCTCGAAAGCATTCGACGTGGTTTGTCATGCCGTCCTCCTCGAGAAGCTAAGACAGATCGGTGTGCAGGGAAGGCTTCTTGACTGGCTGTATGATTTCTTGGTGGGAAGAGAAATGCAAGTGCTGGTTAAAGACACGACAAGCAAGCCAACAGAGGTGCTGAGTGGTGTACCACAGGGCTCCGTTCTAGGACCGATTTTGTTCCTATTGTACATAAATAACATCGCTTCAACTTTGACGAGTAGCTACAAGATATTCGCGGATGATTTGAAAGTGTATATGAAGATGGACAGAGAAGCCCCTCTGACTACAGCGGAAGATCTCCAGAGGGACATCGACCTACTGTACGACACAGCCACATCGTGGGGGCTGGCGCTTAACCTACGAAAGTGCGCTGTGCTTCATTTTCGGCGCCGATATCACGCCCAGTCCATCATTTCATACACATTGAATGGCACCGAAATACCGCACGTTTCGGCCTACACTGATCTGGGCGTCGCCGTGGATGACAGTTTAAAATTCCACGAGCACTGTGCCCTTGCTGCGAGAAAGGCTGGGGGCGTTGTCCATAACTTTCTTAGATCTACTCGCTGCCGATCACCTGACTTCATGATGTTCATTTGGAAGACACACATACGGCCCATTATTGAGTACGCTTCATCTGTGTGGAACAGTGGATATGTTCAAGATCTCAAGAAGTTAGAGAAAATCCAGAGACTATGGACGCGTAACACTCTGGGCCTCAAAGATACGTGCTATGGTGACAGGCTCAAAACACTTGATCTTTTTTCTGTGCAGGGTCGCCTTCTTCGTGCTGATATTTTGAAGTGCTGGAAAATATTTCATGGACACTGTCACATCTCGCCGGAGGATTTGTGGAGTCTGGAAGTAAATGGAAGAACACGTGGTCACAGACACAAGATCAAGGTCATCCGCGCGCATGTTGACGCGAGGTCCAGATACTTCACACACAGAGTCGTCAAAGAATGGAATAGCCTCCCGGGGTGGCTAGTGCAAGAAACCTCCCTGCAGAAATTCAAAGGAGGACTCGCAGAGGTGTTGGGCGCGAAACTTTACGATTACTCAGTCTAATGTTGCTACGTTATATGACAGATTACGATCGGTATAATGTCAAACCATTGGATCCCCCCCCCCTCCATGGTATGCGCCCCGTTCTTAACAAGCAAGGACAGGGTCAGATGCGCCATGGAGCTCCAATCGGTCATTCACCACTTGCCTCCTGATTTCTGCATTCCCACCATGCCTGGCCTTCCTTCACATGTCATTCACCCATTTGGTTTGCGGGTGAGACAGCATTTGCGTTACACTTCACAGCCGTTTCTCTCTCTTTCTTTCTTTCTTTGTGGAGCATTAGCACCAACTACGAGTCGAGTTTTGTCGACTTGTGTCGACTTGCACCAACTACGAGTCGAGTTTGTCGACTTGTTGTCGAGTTTCCACAACAATTCACACGCAGACGCACAACACCAGTTCCCTGACTCAAGGCCCACCCACTGGCCCCAGCTTGTGTCCAACTATATTCTTTGGAATTGGCGCGTCTCTGAACGACTTGGGTTTCCCTCCTTCTCACTCCTCTCCTAAGAGCAAGGCTGAGGAAACCCAACAGGTGAGTTAAACAGGTGAGTTAAACCACCGCGTGCTACAAAACGTTTTAGTCAAACATTTAACGGACGTTCGAAAGCCTGATGACGTCATCAGATTCCCGTAATGGTTAAGAGATAGGGACCACGCTGGTCCCACCCTGCAAGTAAAGGGAAGAAATTTCTTGAACACCATAAAGCTGCGGGGGTTGCGACCAGGATAAATGGTGGTTTCTGAGCCTGGCCGCAAACTTGGCTATCTCAACTCAAAACTAATGTTAAGGTGGGAGGGTCCCTTTAATTAATGTTGCTAATTTTATAAGTGTTTTTGTTGTTTTTGTCTGAAAAATTGTTGAAATAAGCTTCAATGTTTCCTTTCTTACTGTGCCTTGGGCTTTCTGACTTTATTTCGTAATACTCCCTTGTGGGCTTTGTGTCAAACTCGAATATCCGCCTTTCGTCGGTGCGCGAGTTTGAGTTGAATACTTAGATTATTAAATACACCTAGATTATTAAAAACATCTAAGGTTTTAGAGGGAGATCTCCGACTGATCACTATAAGGTAGCCTTTAGAGGTATTTTCCACATATTACAGAACACTTCACGCAAGTATGAGTATTTCAGAGCATCACAGAAATCGAAAATCTTTGTCACTTGCGATGAAACTTATCCTCACGACACTTTGATCTACCTTTATACATTTATTGATATCGCACAATTTGGTTTGTATTCTTTCACAGCTCATTCCATGATGGGTCCCGTACCTGCTGCTATCCAGGAACGACTGCAGAATTTGACAGATTATGTAAAGCCCATTCTTGGTAAGTACCTTTCTAGGTATTTGAACATCATTAGACGATGTACACAACTTTTGGCTAATATTTGTATGCATCACTTCATTTTCTTTTTCAGTAACATTTGTATATGGACTTCCATGGTATAGTAGGTATGCCTTCATTTTCTCACTTTGGTTTTCGTGCTAAATGTTCTCCGACCGCCGTCTACATATGATCGAAAGGATCATTGATCTTATATGTTTGGCTGACAACTTCTACAAATATTCGGCACTTGACCGCCGTTTTGTTCAGTGCGAAAATTGCCACCCACATAGATCACCCTGCAGTCTATAAACGATGATTAGCTGGTGATCTAAATGGTGCGACAGTGAAATGATGTTTTTGCTGCATTTTCCCTTCGATACTGGTTTATAACACAGTCTGCATCCTGAGAAGGAACCTCTTGCCACCATGTCATTTTTTGTTTGTTTTTGTTTGAAAACATAGATCATGGCTAGAAAGGGACATTTTGGGTTCTGTAAGAAAACGAGATGGTCCTGACCTATGTTACACCGGATTTACACGTACCTACTCAAGTTTGACTCGTCCGATGTTCCTCATGAGAAGACAGTGATATAGCGCTATACATTTAGTGGTCTCTACTAATTTGCTTAGAAAAGAACTTCAAAGATGTCAGTAACGAACTCCCGGATTTGGTTGTTACTCGAACGGTGTTACGAAGAAGAAGCCCATGTCCCGTCCCTTCTGACCCTGTTCTATGTGGACTGTCAAATAACCGCTGACCAGGTCGGTCGCTGGGGGGTCGGCGCTGATCGAGCGGTGGCCGTCGATCGTCCGCCGACCGCCGCGCTGTCAGCTACATCGCCCTGATGTCAGCGCTCCTCGTCTGCTGACAGCGGCCGCACCGCGTTTTTACGCGCTCCGCTCACGGGCTGGGATGCGTGATCAGCTCGACCCTACTGTTACCTTTGCTTTGTGGCCTCCTATTTTATGTAAATCAGTGTTTCGACTTGATCTGTTTCGTGTGTCCGCTCCCCGGTATATGTCCGCCCTTACGAGTGCAGCGCACACTCAGACTGCGTATATACGACCCTCCCCCCCCCGCGGACCGTGTCACTGACTCACCGCTCCGTGTGTCACCGGCGTCCAATGGCTCACACCTGTGTCCTGCGCGCCCCGGCTCTGTTTTTTCCGCCGAGCGATCAGCTGTTCTCTCTGCGCACCTCCGCCGTGGCCCCGCGGGCACAATGCGCCGTTCACCCCCCCCCCCTCCCCCGTCCCCTCAGAGTACTGCCGCGCTCCCCAGCTGGGCGGGATAGGCTGAACCGTCCTGTATCCGACTGCAGTGGCTGGTTGTCCCCTCCCTCTCCCCCTCCTCAACGGCGCGGGGGCGGGGGGAGGGGGTAGACCGACCCACCCTGCATCAGCCGACACAGCGCGCTGGTTGTCCCGCGCCGGCTCACCCTCCAGCAGTATGCCCACCTGGCCGGCGGCCTTGTACCCAGTGTGGGCACGAGGATGCACGGTGATCGGTCACGCGTCGCGCTGCTGTTGGAGGGGGGGGGGGAGAGGGGGTACGGAGACTGTGCCGCGCCTGTTTGTTTGTGCCCCGGCCGCTGCTAGATGTCGCTGGTGTGCCGCCGTTCTCAGCGGTGACCGATTAGTGTCCGGGGAGACACCGGCCGCCCAGTCAGTCAGCGGGGCGCTGGCGGCGGCGGCGGGGCGGCGCTCTCTGGTTCCTCGCACCCCGCGGCGACTACAGACTCGCAGTCCCGTGAGACCACCTCCGGCCTGACCGGTCACAGGACTTCCAGCACCATCGCTGCCGGTCCTTTCCCGGCGGGCCGTCCCCGCGTCTGTCCTCGCACCGTGCTGTGTCCCGGCCGGTGTACCGGCCGTCTCCCGGCGGGCCGCAGCTGCACCGTGCCCGGTCCCGCGCGGCACAGTCGCTCTCCCCGTATCCCCGGCCCCGTCACCATGTCGCAGCGTCCGAGCAGCTCGGGGCTGCGGCCGGTCGGCGGCGCCACCCTGGACCTGCTGGCCGAGGCGGCCGCCCACTGCGTGCTGAGCGTGACGGTGGTGCAGCGTCTGCTTCCAGCCGGCTACCTGGACCTGGAGTACGCGTGGTGGCAGGTCTGGCTGCTGTGGCCCGTCATCGCGCTGCTCGTCATCCCCGCCTCGCTGCTGGCCTCCCTCTTCCTGTCGGCCTTCTTCGTGGAGTGCTACCGACACTGGTGAGTGGGCGAGGGGCGGCCGGACGCCGACTTCCCCACAGGGGATACGGGCCAGAGCCTAGCCTCCAATATGGAAAATACGGGAGAGCCTGGCTGCTTGTATGATACGGGAGCACCTCCCTCATTCTCCTAGCATTTTAGACAATTACAGCATTCACAATTGTGAATTGTTATGCTATCATGCACAAGGCACGCGTGATGCCCGGAGGTAGTTATGTTTGTCTTATGATTACGTATTGTATGCCTTATGTGCACACTGCACATACTGCTGGACTACTCGTAAACCCGAACACAGGTGCTGGTGCAACAGGTGCTGTCCACCTCTACTGATCAGCGCCGTGGGATCGTTTCCGCTTGTGTTGCCGCTTAGCCGGTCGGTTTTCTACCTGTCGCATTTACCGGTAGTAGGTAACCTGTTATATCTAGTCCCGTGTTTCAGCTTCATTCATGAGATATCGGCTTTCAATTTCCCGCTTGCATTCTACATAAATGGTCGAATTTTGTCAAATTTAGTGTCACCAGGCCCCGTATCCCTGGATGTATACTGTATGTGTATGGGTTGTTGTCGGGCCACTGTTCTCTACCCTTCTGCTGTTTCATAGTGGCTGATTCTACGGCGCTACGCTGCTGCCCGTCCTGCCGGATGACCGTTTACCCACCGCAGGTATATGACGCTTATCACGGTCGGCCATATCAGTAGTGCTTAATCCCACACTGTAAAGCTGTCGGACTCTCGAGACTGTGGATTGGTCCTTTGCTATCGGCGTCTGTGAAGACCACCCTCCTTCCTGTTAATGGGAGCTTTATAATGCGAACCGATACGCTATCGGTATCGGTCTGGTGGATGCGGCACGTTTTTGGGGCACGTGACCCGTCCCGGGGATCGTTACTATGGACCAACTATTGCCAGCTATGAGCTGAGGTGGCCCCGTGTCCCGGCCGGCGCGGCGATCAGCTGGGGTGGGGCTGATTTTCACGGCGGCCTTTGAACTCCCACACTGACATGACGCCGATAGTACGCACGTGCGTACCTGGCGGGGCCCTGACCTATTGTCCCAGTCGGCGCATCAGCCGCCGGACGTCTGACTCGGGCCCCTGGTGTGTACAGCGTATGGTTTATGGCCGGGTCATGCACGGTCTCCGTGACCAGCGATAACACATGTATCAAATGTATGGGCGGGGGAGGGGCGACTTCTGGTAACCCAACGGCTATACGTCTTCTGTTTATATGTGGAGTCTATGAACTGACGCAAGATGAGTTTTTGCCTGTCCTGTTACCTAGCGTGCTCAAACAAGAACTGTACCTACTTGTACTGCCGCTCAGAACCCGTCCTGCGATTTCTCCTTCCCCGTGTTTTAGCTGAGGCGCCTCGGCCCATCTGAAGTCAGTTACACCTCTCCTGTGTATCTGTTGCAGGCACGGTCTGCGGGCCGCGTATGAACAGAGTATATGGGACGGCGCGTTACACCTCTCCTGTGTATCTGTTGCAGGCACGGTCTGCGGGCCGCGTGCGAGCAGAGTATCTGGGACGGCGCGTTACACCTGTGTATCTGTTGCAGGCACGGTCTGCGGGCCGCGTACGAGCAGAGTATCTGGGACGGCGCGTTACACCTCTGCTGTGTATCTGTTGCAGGCACGGTCTGCGGGCGGCGTACGAACAGAGTATCTGGGACGGCGCGTTACACCTCTCCTGTGTATCTGTTGCAGGCACGGTCTGCGGGCGGCGTACGAGCAGAGTATATGGGACGGCGCGCGCTACACAGTCTGCGTCTGCTGGAAGGTGCACGGCAGGATATGGCACGGTGAGTCCTGGCTGCGTCCGCTGGGTACTGGTGAAAGCAGCAAGTCAGGTGCCGACAAGGCGGTCTTCCCGTCAGCGCTAGTCGCTAACCACTCGAAGTTTTGTCAGATTTCCCCGGTCCTTCGTCATACCGTAGGAGGTGGCACATCATTTCTTGCTTTTATTTCTTGCTTTCTTACATTGCCCTTGGTTAGGAATCGAATACACTGAGTCCCTAGCAGTTCAATGAATTTGCTCAAAGTAATGCCCAATTGATGTGCCAATCGGTCTATTGGAACGCTAGTTTCCGTTCTAAAACAAAGCCAGCCCCGGGCAGCGGCGCTAACCGTTCGCCAGTACCAGAGAAGTGCTCGCAAAAAGGCGTGTCTGCGGGCGGCGGTCGGGCCGAGGGAGCGTGCTCAGCACTCCTCGCCCTGGTAACGGGGCGGACCTCACAGCGCCCTGCCGACTCGGGCCTCTGGTGCATGCCGACACAAACGCTGACGACGTATATCGGCTCTGTTTATTATTATTGACTGATGGTCACTGGGCAATGTCGAACATGCCGGGTCCTGTAAATTTGTCGGACGCTGCATAGTAACGGTATCCTATATTTCTTCCACTGCCGGAGTTTTCAGTATCGCTTCGAAACTTTTTCCTCATCCCAGGACGGTAGTACGACATGAGTGTTTCGGGACGTGAACTGAGCACGACTTAAAGCCGGGGGGGGGGGGGAGTGACCTCAGAGGTCGTCGACGGGAGCGGGGTGGTGTGAACTAGTCCTTTGTGGCCTCGTGTCGTCTTCAGATTGGTGGCGTCTGGCAGCTAACGAATGTGTTTCGGGAAGGGCTGATGCAACCATGGCTCGGCTCGGACATGGAGCTGAATATTGATGTCGTTTGTGGCACGACCTGCTCACAGTCCGTGGTCCCCTACCGACCAATTTATCGCCCTACGGCTCCCAGTCACTGCGAGCTCCCATGGGCTGTCGCTTTTATCTGTATTCGTCCGGGGTGCCGTCTCCCAGCAACACCCACATCTCCCCGTCTGCCCACTAACCGCTCCCCTCCCCGTCTGCCATTGACCGCCCCCTCCCCGTCTGCCACTGACCGCCCCCCCCCCTCCCCGTCTCTCACAGACCGCCCCCTCCCCGTCTGCCACTGACCGCCCCCCTCCCCGACTGCCACTGACCGCCCCCCTCCCCGACTGCCACTGACCGCTCCCCCTCCCCGTCTGCCACAGACCGCACCCCCTCCCCGTCGGCCACTGACCGCTCCCCCTCCCCGACCCCGACTGCCACTAACCGCCCCGTCCCCGTCTGCCACTGACCGTACCGTCTGCCACTGACCACCCCCTCCCCGTCTGCCACTGACCACCCCCTCCCCGTCTGCCACTGACCGTACCGTCTGCCACTGACCGCCCCCTCCCCGACTGCCACTGACCGCCCCCCTCCCCGACTGCCACTGACCGCTCCCCCTCCCCGTCTGCCACTGACCGCCCCCTCCCCGTCTGCCACTGACCGCTCCCCTCCCCGTCTGCCACTGACGGCTCCCCCTCCCCGTCTGCCCGCCCAGGGTACGAGGTGAGCGGCCTGGAGAACCTGCCGTCGGGCCCGGCCATCATCGTGTTCTACCACGGCGCCATCCCGATCGACCACTACTACCTGCTCTCGGAGGTGCTCACCAGCAGCGGCCGGCTCATCAAGACGGTCGGCGACCGCTTCCTCTACAGGATACCAGGTCAGTTGCCGAGCGGGCCAGTGTGACAGACACGGTCGGCCACTGCTGCCTGTAGTGTACACAGTACAGGATATTACCCGGTCAGTCGCCGAGCGGGGCGGGGTGGAAATTCTGACCTGACCGGTCGAGCTGAGACGCGGGTGGGGGTCTCAAAGTTTGAGCGTCGAATGGAATGCTGTACGTTTGCAGCCCACATTATAATGTGCTTTATCCGGTCCTAACGTTAAAGTGGGTGGGTCTCGCGCTGTCAGCTGACTCTCTGAGAGGCCAGCAATACCAGCATCCTCCGTCGTCCGGACGCGGCGGCGGTGGCGGCTCTCGGTACCAAATGTAGATGACCGGCGCGGGACGCCGCTGCCGGGGCTCTGATCACGCGCCGGGCTCGTGGCCGCCAGCACGGTACGGTCACGATGGGAGCACGGGGCGGCGATCCAATCCCGAACCGCGCCGGACACACTGCTCACCCCGCTGCCGCTGATCAGCCGAATACAGCCGCATGCATAATGCAAGGATCTGCGGAGTGAACCGTGCCGCGCTGGATGGTTGTTATCCATGGCGGCCGCGTGTATCCCATTTCGCACGTTATGCTCATTTCCATGCAGCCAACCAGCATCCGTGTCTGCCGCCTTGCTACAGGCTGGAGCCCACCTCCCGCCTGTTGTCCCGGGACAGTACGTAACCCGCGCCCGCTGTGCTCCTGCAGGCTGGAAGCAGCTGATGAGCGTGTTCTGCGTGATCCCTGGCGGCCAGGCCAACTGTCTGGCGGCGCTGCAGCGCGGCGATCTGCTGGCCATCTCGCCGGGCGGCGTGCGCGAGGCCTTCTTCGGCCAGGGCTACCGACTCGTCTGGAAGGACCGCGTCGGCTTCGCCAAGGTGGCCGTCGAGGCCAGAGTGGTGAGTACGGCCGCGCCGCGAACGACCCGCCGTCCGCGGCGGCGGCGCTCCGCTGACTGGGCGCCTCCAGGCCGTGCGTCAGCAGGCTGTCACTGATGAGCTAACGTTGAACTGTTGTACTGACGTTTAACGGATAAATTACTGGTATTGAAGCGGTGTTTAACAGAATGGGCTATGTTCAACAGTTTACTGGTCAGACTCAGGCCAGCAAATAGGAGCGTTTTCAATGCTGTCTGAGCCGTGCGGACGTGGGTTTCGTTCTCCTTAGACATGCCCTCCTGCTTCAGCGTTTGAAATTCCGCTAACGGCTCTGCCCAGCTGCCGATAACAGGACGGGTATCGAGTTTGTGCTGCGTCTTACCGTACTTGTCGAGCATGATCTCAGTGTCGGCGTGAATCACTGTCCTGTGTTCGAGTGGTACCGTCAGTACTGCCCCGGGCTTGGCTTCTGTTAATGGACGGATAGATCAGCCGGGCAGAAACCGTGGTTCTGATAGCTCAAATTCAGACCTAGAGCAAAGTGAGAGCATTACAAAATAATGCTCTTGACGTACCTAGTTACAATTTACATGAGTCAATTCATATGCCTATCTGTGAAAACCAACGCATTATATGTGATTAGTGATTTTCAGGTAGTTCTTTTTTACGAGAATCGTGCCTATTCGCTTACTGTGGGCAATACCATTCAAACTGTCTGTGTGTCTGCTTACTAATAAGCGCGCTCCCAGTTTGACGTTACGCGCTCCCTTCGCTTCCCTGTCGTTGGGGCGTTTTGTCTACCGTTCGGAGAGTCGGGTTCTGGACCACGCTGCTGATTGAGTAAAATGGAGAGGGATTCACATACCAGTCTCATTCTGTTACTGCTAGCGCGGTACTTAGTTCTGTCATTGATCCATACGAGAGTTGTTCCACCAACCAGTGCCAGGGGCCACCTCTTCTCCTGTTTGCCCTGACCCCCCCCCCCCGATCCATCCCTCCCCTCCCCCGGCGCCCCGCTCCAGCCCTCCCTCCCCCGGCGGCCCGCTGCAGCCCGCCCGCCGCCCTACCCTCCCCCATGCCGCTGCCCTGACGGCCGCCTTTCGGCCGCAGCCGATCGTGCCCATGTTCACGATGAACGTGCGCGAGTCGTACCGCTCGTTCGTGGTGGGCCGCCGCTTCTGGACCTGGCTGTACGAGCGCACGCGGCTGCCGCTCGTACCCATCTACGGCGGATTCCCGGTGAAGATGCGGACCTACCTGGGCCGGCCCATCCACCACGAGGAGGGCACCACGCCCGAGCAGCTGGCGCTCAAGGTGAGGGAGGAGAGGACTGATTGGCTGGGAAGGAATCGCTGGACAGGAGACAGCTGACTGCCACAAGGCCAGCTGTGCTAACCACTGTGTCCCACGTATTCTGATCCCCGTGCCCGGCCTCTGCTGGCCCTGTGCACCCCCCCCCCCCCCTGACTTCCCCAGTGTCCGGCCGGCGGCCATTGAATCCACTGTGCGCGCCCCCGTCCCTCGGCTGCCACTGACTCCTCTGTGTCCCCCCTATCCAGGTCCAGGTGGAGATTAACCGTCTGATCGAGGAGCACCAGAAGCTGCCCGGCAACATCCTGCGCGGAGTCCTGGAGAGGATCATCGAGTGGCCAAAGTCCAAGGCCTCGTAGCGCGGCGGGGCGGACCGGGACGCGCGGCCCGCCCCAGCTGCAGCAGGACCGCCGTCCGGCGGACCAGTGCGGTAGGGTCTGAGCGTCCCCGGACGTACCGGGCCCGGGAGTATGTACCACGCGGTGCCTTAGTGACGGGGCGCCCCGTGCAATACTGTAATCGTGCGCCCCGTGTCCGCGCGGAGGTGGCCTGTAAGTTACGAGCTTCTGCGGAGATTAGCGCGGAGCAGCCGGCCAAAGAGCGCAGCTGTTGGAGCGTCGGGAGGCGCCGCCCGGCGGAGATGCGATGTGAACTGTGTTACATATCAGTAGTGGGACCGCGCAGACGGGACGCGTCGGTCGGCCGCGCTTATGCAATAGGGGCGGGTCCCTGCCGTCCCCCGTACCGTGTCTACTGTAGAACCCGCAGTATAACCCTCGCCGTACGCGGACACCGGACCCGGCCAACCGATCTCAGCCGACCCAGCCCCGCCCAGCGGCCATTTACACACCTCGAGGGGCGCGGCCTGTACCGGGGCCCGCCCAGCGGCCATTTACACGTCACCTCTAGGGGCGCGGCCTGTCCAGGGGTCCGCCATGTTCTGTACACACCTAGGAGCGGGGCCTGCCCGTGGTCCGCCATGTTCTGTACACCCCTAGGAGCAGGGCCTGTCACGGGGCCTGCCATGTTCTGTACACCCCGTTGCGGCGTATTCGCCGAGTCGGGCGGTGTTTTTTTAGTATTGTCCGTGTAATGGGTGACGGCGTGTATAACGCGGCTGCAGTTGACGCCTATATCCCGTGTGTGACCGCCTGTACCGTTTTGTGAATTATGTGTGAGAGTGTTCCTCAGTCATTCCCCAGTGTTCCGGAGCAGCGGGGCTGCCACAGGGTCGGTGCTATGAGGGCCAGAGTGGCCCATAGGAGGTGTGTCACGCTGGCACACGTGACGGTGTATGCAGTGTTGGTGTCTTGGAGGCGAGCCCCTGGCTGTCTGAAATACATATACGACATGATGAGTGGTCTGCGCGGCTGTCCAGTGGCTCAAACTACCGCCGTACGGCTGTTTTTGTGCGAGTATAACCCCTTTGGAAGCACGCCCGGCCGACCAGTACTCACAGTAGCCTCGAGCGCACCAGCTCAGTCCCAGCAGTAGGAGGGGCGGGAGACTGAGCTGCTGGACTGTATTGCCACTGTTGGACAGCAGGAACGGTCGTGTCACCGCTCCATAACGTGTCTTCGTGCGAGTTCAGAGTTCACATTGTCAAAGGCTGCGTCCGTCTTACCGAGCTGCACCATCCGAAAATATGCGGCTGTCACAGCGCGCGGCCGGCAGCGGCGGCGGCACGGTAATTTGTACTCGGTGCGTGTTGTACCGAGTCTGTTGTACTGGGGGGCGCCCCCCCCCCCTGCGGTCCCGGTCGACACGCAGTCTGGAGCGCAGCGGTGTTGTACCGTCCGCAGTCTACCGGGCGGCCGCAGCATTGTGCCGCGCCGGCTGCCCGCAGCGCCGCGCCATTGTGCTCGCCGAGATCAGGTACCAGACGACCGGGGCTCCGCCGACGTGTGAGGGCAGCTCCGACGGACGGCCGCCGGCCGGCCACCACGGCCCGGGCCGACCACCCCACATCGCCTCCTGGCCCCGGCAGGCTACCGGCCCATGGCATCCCGCGGGGCCCGGCAGTCCGATCCCAGTTAAACCAGCACACTCAGTCTCTCTCACTTGGCTCGCGGTCCCGCCCGTCGGAGGCGGTTCCGCCGCGGCTGCAGTGGGCTCGATTCGAGCCGTCCACAGCCGGCCGGCACGGCCAGACCCGGTGAGTCCCGCGCGGCGGACGGACGTTCCGGCCTTCTCAGCCGTCCGCGTCCGCTCCGTATATCGCCTGATTGCGGCGCTTGAACTTCTTGGCCGGCGTGACGGCAGGAGAGTCTTTGGCCGGCGTGAGGTCCGGCGAGTCTTTGGCCGGCATGAGGTCCGGCGAGTCTTTGGCCGGCGTGGCTGTGACCTTCCCCGCGATCTCCGGGAACGAGATGGGCACGGCCGGCCGGCCGCGCGCCGGGTTCAGGCTCAGGAAGTCGGCCGGCGGCGCGCGCGGCGTGCTCGTCCCCTTGCGGTCGATGACGAACATGTCGTCCTCCCCGACGTCGTCGTCGTCGATGCCGATTTCGGCGGGATCGGCGGCCGGCCCGTCCGGGTCCAGCGTCAGGTCGCCGTCCAGCGTGATGTCCGCCTGGGCGGGGTCGGCCGGCGGCGGCGGCATCGGCCCGGCGACTGGCGGCGGCGCGCTGCCGCACAGCATCTCCATCGGGTCCTGGGAACGGCCAGGGGGGTTAGACGGGATAGCGGCGGGCAGCGGCCGGGGCACCCACCTTCAGACCCCGCGTTACAACTGCGAAAGGATCATTGCGAGGCTTACAGGTGGGATTAAACACTGAACAGACAAACGTAAAAACTTCCACCCACCTCGTCCCACCAGCCACCCTGTCTCCCCCCTCCCGTACCGGGTCCCATCCCGTCCCGTCCGGTCCGTCCGGTCCGTACCCGGACCCGCAGTCGGCGGCAGAAGCGGCTGGTCTGCGGGTCGGTGGCGGCCGCCGGCTGACGACCCGCACGGATGTCCGAGCGGCCGTCGTACGGCGGCGCCGTCACCGCAAAGTCGGCCGGCACGCGCAGCTGCTCGCCCCAGATGGCGCGCGTCTCGGCCAGCTCCTCGGCGCTCGGCCGGAAGTCGAACCTGGGAGGGACAAACAGACAGTCACGGCTGTGCCGGCGGCCAGGCCCGGTCAGCCAACTCCTCAGCGCAGACGGGTCACTGACACTGCCCGACCGCGGGAAGACAACGCCACTGATTTTTAACATCGCACCCAGTGTGTTCTGTCTGCAGCCGTGTGTGGGCTGTCTCACCTCTGGCCGCAGCCGGGGCCGGGCATGTACTGCGTGCCGCTCGACACGCTCGTCAGGTGGTCCGTCAGCCGCAGCACCGTCAGCCACTCGAGGTCGTAGCTGAGCTCCGGCGCGCCGTCGCCCAGCTCCAGGATCTGCATGTAGCGCCGCCGCGGCAGACACTTGTCCAGCGCCAGGAACCGGGTCGTGCGGCCGCCGCCTGTCGCCGGCGGGGCCGCGGCGTCCGGGCCGGCGGCGGCGGGCGGCGGGTCGCCCACCTGGCGGCCGTGCTCGACCAGCGCCGAGAACTTGACGTGCAGGTGAGCGGAGAACCAGAAGCGCGGCTGCAGCCGGTGCAGCAGCTCCTCGGCCGGCCGCGAGCCCAGCTTGTTGGACTCCACCTCCTCCCTGAGGAGAGAACGGGGCAGCAGTGCAATGGGGACTCCACCTCCTCAGGGAGCGGCGGGGCAGCAGTGCAGTGGGGACTCCACCTCCTCAGGGAGCGGCGGGGCAGCAGGGCAGTGGGGACTCCACCTCCTCCCTGAGGAGGGAGCGGCGGGGCAGCAGGGCAGTGGGGACTCCACCTCCTCCCTGAGGAGGGAGCGGGGCAGCAGGGCAGTGGGGAGTCCACCTCCTCCCTGAGGAGGGAGCGGCGGGGCAGCAGTGCAGTGGGGACTCCACCTCCTCCCTGAGGAGGGAGCGGGGCAGCAGGGCAGTGGGGAGTCCACCTCCTCCCCGAGGAGGGAGCGGGGCAGCAGTGCAGTGGGGACTCCACCTCCTCCCTGAGGAGGGAGCGGGGCAGCAGGGCAGTGGGGACTCCACCCCCTCCCTGAGGAGGGAGCGGGGCAGCAGTGCAGTGGGGACTCCACCTCCTCCCTGAGGAGGGAGCGGCGGGGCAGCAGGGCAGTGGGACGCCGGCACGGACGGCGCTCGGGTGGGTTCGAGCCGCGTTCGACTGGCTCAGAGCACACCGCCACAGCCGTCCGGCAAACACGGGACTGGTGAAACAGAGGACACTCTGTGGATCCAATGGACGACTTAATGCTTCAAACAGCGACTGAATGGGCGGATCTAAACAGCTGAATAAATACTGGGACGGTATTTACAAAGTCGTCAGCAGTGGAGGCGGACGTGGTATCCGTGCCGCAAGGCCGGCGCGATGCTCACCTGAAGAAGGGCTTCTTGCTGAGCAGCTGGTTCACATCGCCGTGGTGGTAGACGCCGCGCGGCCAGTCGTGAGATATGAAAATATCCATGTCCGGCGTCAGCTGAAAAATAAAACGCAGAACTGGAAGCAAGCCCATGTTTGAAAAGTGGTGAGAAGAATGATAAAATATCATAATCTGAACAACGGTCTGGCACTATTGTAGCCACTGGCAGCACATAACGGAATGCTAATATACCTACAAAATAACCAGGGATGGGGAGCCGTGGAAATTTCAGACGGCTCCGGCTCCGAGTAAAATGGTCCGTCTCCAATACCTACTCAGTACATCCCCTATGCAATTAAATACGGGTGGAAGAAAAAAGATGGGATTGGTGCACGTTGCTTCTGTATTTGCATAACAAGGCTATTTTCATATTTTTAATGCCGCATGTTTTACTGCCTTGAACTGAACTGTCAAACCGAGTTAGGTCAATATTTTTCCTCTTCAAAAAAAAGAGTCGGAGTCGCCCCCTTTTTGACGGCTCTGGCTCCGGACAAAATATGCCGGGTCCGGCTCCAACTCCGGCTCCGCACCCCTGAAAATAACTAATCCAATGTACAAACCTACAGCATACTTGTTCTGTCCCTCACGGAAAACACTGCTACTTAAACTATCATTGGCACCGCATGACTCGACGACTCCGTGGCGCAACGGTAGCGCGTCTGACTTCAGATCAGAAGGTTGCGTGTTCAAATCACGTCGGGGTCACGGACTTTTAACGAACAGGATGTCCCGTTGACAAGGCCTGAACTTGGCCAGAACCGCCTCCCGACGCACAGTGAATGATAGCTTCGCGTAGACGAGCTATCCTACCCAGGATATTAAACGACAGTCGCCTGTATACCATCCTCTCTTCGGCAGTAGTATTTATGTACCCTGTGTTACCACACATGTTTTACTGAGAAGGATTATTAAGGTGGGATGACGAGCCAGTGGCCAGTCACGGAACTGCACACCCGCGTCGCCGGTCTGATCCCCAGCCGGCCCGGCGCGGCGCTCACCTGTTTGAGCCGGTAGGTATCGACGTTCCGCACGTGGTAGGCCGAGCGCATGGTGCTCCTGTCGTAGGGCGGCCGCTCGTGGTGGCCCTTCAGGTAGTCGTGGCCGTTGTAGATGCCCGACAGAGCGCCGATTCGCAGGCTGCCGAAGCGCAGCACGCTGGCGTAGCCGACAAAGTAGATGTTGGGCGCTAGCCAGCCGCCGTGCGCCAGCGCCTGCATGTAGTTGGAGGCCTCGTGGTTGCCGCCGACCACCAGGGTGAGGACAGGGGCCCGCAGCTCCCCGCTGTAGTACCTGAGAAGATCCGGATTGTAAGGAGCTGTGGGGGTTCAGGCACCTGATCCACACTCTCACCATGCCAGCTTGGCTTTGAGCCCACAACACATTATAGGGTCAAGGTCACCTACTTTGGAGTTGCAAATAAGCACACAGTTCTCCACCCATGATCAGCAATGCTTTGGCATCTGGCCACGTAAAAAAAAAACATTAGTAATACCTAGCTCAAAACAAGAGAACAATACCACCAGTATAACGCCTTTTGGGGCGAGTAACGGAGCGAGCGAGAGGGTGAGCCTTGCACGTGCGAAATTTCGAGGGGGTACCTCCAACTGACTTGTGCGCGGCACCCTACTAACTGGTCTCTAGCGATGTGCCAAATTTGAGCACAATCGGCCCAGCCGTTCTCGAGATCTGGAAGCGGCACTCTGCACGTGCGCACGTGCAAAATGGGTCCCAACTGACTTGTGCACGGCACCCTACTAACTGGTCCCTAACCGTGTACCAAATTTGAGCGCCATCGGTCCAGCCGTTCTCGAGATCTGGAAACGACCCCTGCACGTGCGCACGTGCAGCAGCACCCCAACTCTGGCACATGGATATGCAGTGCCTAGTGGGTGCCTACCTACATGCCAACTTTCAGCGCAATCGGCCAAGTAGTTACCGAGATATTGCAACAATTACAAAAGTGACACCTCTTCGTTTTGCACGTGGCACGTGCATAAGGGGTCACCCACATGCATCGGGAATAGTCCAATACTTGGTAGAAGGAATGAAGCTACCCTACAAAAATTACCGCATGTAAATCGGTCAAGTGGTTGCTGAGATATAAGCCTCGCAAAAGCGTCCGCACGGCCGGCCGGCCGGCCGGCCGGCCGGCCGCTCATACTCAGAAATTTCCGTTATTCTACGTAAGACTCCGCTCGCTTCGCTCGCTCCGTAAAAATCAGCTATTTTCATTTAGTTTCAGATTCCTTTCACTTTAAGAAACATAAAACTGTGTTCAACTTACTTGTAAAATGTACCCATGGTGTAATACTTTGGTGGAACTGCCATGCACTGCAGGTCGTCTGGATTTCTTGTGGCTTGAAAGTCACCGCAAATGATGAGAAGGTCCACCTTGATGGAGCGAGCCTTCTCCACATGCTGAATGCCTGCATAGATGCCATCTAGCTCTCCATGGCCACAGCCCTCCACAGCTATGTACATTGCAAATCACTGTAGAGAAAACAAAAACACTTAGACCAATTTATGTGAATTCTTATTTGTTAGGAACCTAAGTTGCACTACTAACTTTAAAATAAAAAAAATCCCTGTGATCAGTAGGTGGAAGTCCAGGGATGCGGAGCCGGAGCCGGAGTCGGAGCCGGAGCCGCCGGAGCCGGCATATTTTGCCCGGAGCCGGAGCCGGAGCCGGAGCCGTGAAACAATATAGCCCGGAGCCGGAGCCGGAGCCGGAGCCGCCAAAAAAGGGGGCGACTCCGGCTCCTTTTTATTTTTTGAAGAGGAAAAAAATAATTGACCTAGTTCGGTTTGACAGTACAAGGCAGTAAAACGATATGGTACTTACGTCATGGGCCATCAAGTGAATGAAAAAATCCGAATATCCCCAGTATCCCACAGTACGCAAACAACTTCCTGTTTGCTCTTCCCCCCCCCCCCCACGTCTACTGCATCCCCAGAACATGAGGACCAGTCATCAGGTGACGGCCATTGTTTTCAAACCAGTGCAGTGGACTGCGACTCCCAGCACCGTCTCATCCCCCCCCCCACCCCTCACCCCCCAATGCAGCCGAGACGGGTGTCAGCTTACGATGGTTCACTGAACTCCGATCCGATTCGCGGCGACTGCGTTTCCAATGCCATCGCTTCCTAGCCCTTTGTTCTGCCAGTTCTCTCCGAGGTGCGTTTGCGCGGGGACGCGGTGAGCCGGTCATGGCAAAGAGTAACGCGTATAACCAATCCAATTTTTCTTCCACCCGTATTTAATTGATTGCGTAGGGGATGTACTGAGTCGGAGCCGGAGCCGCCGGAGCCGGAGCCGCCGGAGCCGGACCATTTTACTCGGAGCCGGAGCCGGAGCCGGAGCCGCCATACCATTTCACCCGGAGCCGGAGCCGGAGCCGGAGCCGATTTTTTTCTCCGGAGCCGGAGCCGGAGCCGGAGCCGTCTGAAATTTCCACGGCTCCGCATCCCTGGGTGGAACTATGGTCATGAGTACCCAAATATAGGAACGTTCCCATTTTTGGGAACGGAGTTCCCAAATATGGGAACGGGCGTTCCCATTTATGAGAACGGAAGGTAATTTTTCGGCCGTTCGCCCACTAAAACTCATTAGTGCATCACGTCTCAAAAAAGTGCATGCTAATTTAAGTTTCTACTAAGTCTCCATAAAATTATCTTAAATCTGACCGTTGAACAAGGAAATTGACCGTCGAATGATATTTTTAATGATTTTTTGAAATGACGGAATGATGAAAACATGGGTTATACTACATTTAACATGCAATTTTAAGGAAAATGAAGCGTTTTTTACATTTTGAAGTCAAGTATAATAATTTTCGCCTGGTTATGAGGTTTCATACTAGCGACACCAGATGCTGACATATGCAAGCGAACACGCGGACAGTCCCGAGGTAATATTGTTGACTTTTGGTGTCGGGGCGCACGATCGCGTGGAACGTCAATGATTTTACCGAACTACTGTTGTAAACTCATTTTCAGTGGTTTAAAATTATTCAGCTGTATTTTATCAGCCCGGAAAGACATATTTCATTTGGATACTAGCTGTTTAGCGTTGTTTTATAAGGAGCGTCATGAGCGTGGTTTTTGTCTTCCGTGTTTCTAGGCATGATCGTTTTGGGGGAATTTCTCTTATATAGGTCGCTCTGTGTGTCTTATTTATAATTTTTATGCTGATTTCGATCATTCCTCGTGCCCATCCTACCAGGCCTTTTGCCACTTACACTCATTAAGAAAGGAAAAAACTAGATTTTCATTGGGACTAGGTGTTTTGAGGGTGTAACATATTCAGCGTTCCCATTTTTGGATACTTCCTTGTGCTCGTCAACTATCGGTGATAAACAGACAGGTGCTTGACATGTCTCCACCCTCGGCGCGGACGGTGGATATAGGCATGGAAGACCTTGTTGAACATTGCTGAGCGTTGTGAATTACGTAATCCTGCAGAGGGGGGCGTGCCCGCTGCGAGATCGACGGGAATAAAAGCGCAGAAGACCGGGCGAAACATGCGACGGTCTTGCCGGAAAGGTCATCTGATGATTGTTGCGTTAACAATAATTTGCGGCGTTGGACGTGATGCTTGTTAATGAAAAGAGCCTCTGAAAGGCGTCGGTGAAATCGTTCCCAATTTTGGGTACGCCGTTCCCATAATAAGGAACGCTTGCAGCGCCAGTGTACGAGAGCGTTCCCAAATTTGGGCTTGCGGCCCGGATGATGGACTGCTTTAGAAATAGGGGAACGATTTGAAACTACGATGGGCCTTACGATATCAAACTCTTTCCCAACAATATTGAGACAAATATCAGGCGGTTCACGATCGTTTTATATTTTTTGGACGTCATTTAACGGTTCTTTTTCTTGTTTTAAATAATGCCTACATGGCGTTCCCATATTTGGGTTTATCGTTCCCAAACATGGGAACGAAAATGCGTTCCCGAAAATGGGTACGCTTTACCATAGTTCCGCCTACTGTGATGTAAAATGTTGATGTAGGTAAGCCAAGTTAAGTAGCCAGGTTTGGTTTTTTAGTGCATTTAGATTTTAGGGGAATCTGGGAATGATAAGAGCTGGGTGTTCTGACACTGAGTGTTGGTTTTTAGTTGTGTGGCCTGAGATAGTATGAAATAGGTAAGACAGGCCTGTTTCAAGGTGCTGAGCCAGGTACAGCTTGCTGTGTGGCAGTGTATTGGGTTTCCATGGAAACAGCAACAAACTCAGACGCTTGCATCAATGAAGCATCATGGCGCGTTCGTTGCACACGCTGCACCAATACTGCAGTGCAGCATAGCACATTGTATCAGAGGGCCAAGAGACAGGGCCCAGGAAATAAGTCTTTTCAGTTTTCACAAAGACAGCCAAGCCAACAGTGTTAATTGCTCCTAAAAATGCTTTCTTTTAATCCATTGAATATGGATGGCATTTCAGGGCCACCCAAAATTGTTAATGAGCAAAATGAAGGAAATACCAGAAGATGGCTTACTAGAAGATGCTTACTACTTACCTAGGTACCTAGCGTACTTCGCAGCCTCATGAAATAGAAAAAAAAACTTCAGAACACCTGCCTCAAGCTGGGCAGCATTGCAATGCATTTGATTGATGCTTGTGGCTGGGTACCTTTAAATAATTTCCACCATGATTTTGCCCCGAAATAAGTCAAAAACATGCAATTACAACAGAAGAAACTAATCAACAACCAATAAAACAAGAGAAACGTGGATACGCTTCTTCTTCGTGGATTAGGAATGTGGCTACGCGTTTTCGCGCTCCCACCCGGCATTGTATCAATTGCGCCGTGTTCATAGCCATTGAAGCTTCCATTTACTGCAGCAAATAAAGGGTTTCCTTCACAGATCTTGTGAAGGAAAGTCCGTCGTACTTGCGAGTAGTAAAGGAATCTTGATACTTGCCCCCTTGTCAGAATGCATGACTCGCATTGCTCGCATGGCTCATTCGTATGATTCTCCAGCTACGAAACGAAATAAATCATTATCCAGCTCTTAATTAATGCTCTGGGGCCGCGCAATCCAAAATGTAGGCATGCACTTAGGATTTCCTTTCCATCATATCCAACATATCCATAAATACATTGTATTTCATAATAGCATACAATTTAAAAGCTGAATTGGCAGGATATATGTTCAAAACGCTTTGCGAATTTTCACCACGCCTAATCATTGAATAACCGCTGGAATATCCCTGTCTGAGATACATGCGCGCCACAGCCGCCGGTGACAGCGGCTGGCGTCGGCCGCACGGCGGAGCCGCGGTCTGACCACAGCCGGTGACTGACACCGCGAACGCGTCCGGTCCACGGCCGCCGGCGATCAGCCGAGCGCCGCGGACCAGCGTCCAGTCCAGTACACCAGCCGCCGGACCAGCGGCCAGTCTCGTACACCAGCCGCCGGACTAGCGTCCAGTCCAGTACACCAGCCGCCGGACCAGCGATCAGTCCAGTACACCAGCTGCCAGTCCAGTACACCAGCCGCCGCCGCCGTCCCTCCCCCGACAGAGCAGTCCTCGAACACATATCTACGGATACGCGGGCTCTGAGCGCTCGTCGCAGAGACCGAGTGAGACACAATTACATATATAAACAGCACGGCTGGCGGACGGCGAATCAGCGTGACAGGCGAGCGCGGACCACAGCGCTGCGGCCGCCCGCTCCTGCTGAGTGCCGCAGCGGCCCGCTGGCTCTCCGCTGACACGCAGCAGTCGTGCAGGGGCGCTCCGCGGTACAGTGCGAGACATGATAGACAGACAGGTTACGATCGGTGCAGCCCTATACTGAGCGTGTCGAGTACACTGTCTGAACTGAATATCGAGCTTCTGCTGCCGGCAGCGCGGGGTCCGTCTCCGCGCCGCCGTACCGACCGACCGGGCCGGCACACCGGCCGGGCCGCCCGCCGCGCCAGCGGTCCGCGCACCAAAGGCAGGTCCGCAGACCGGCACAGCATCGCCTGGGGCCGGCGCCGGCCAGACAATCACCAGAAGATCGAGCTCGGCACCAAGGGAGATCAGGCCGATCGCGATCCAGCTCCAATAGATAGGTAACAATGTCCGGTTCACGAGGGTCGGGCGTCCAGCCACCGCTCACTCGGGTAGCGGGCGTGCCGCCCTGCCCTTCACTGGGCGGCGCGGCCCGTGCAGAACAGTTCTGCCGCCACACACTACCCGTCTCCAGCCCACAGTTTGCCGTGAGCTCCTTCGCTGCCGTCGCCCCTCATCAGTGCTTCTTCAGGGACCAGAGCGGGTCTAGCTGGCTCAGCGGGTCGTCGGCGTCGGCGGGGGCGGGGGCGGGGGCGGGGGCGGGGGCGGGGGCGGCCGGCTCGGTGGGCGGGTCCAGCTGGAAGGTGGCCGGGTCCAGACAGGCGGCCAGCGGTCCGCTCAGCGCCGGCGCAGAGCTCGGCCGGCTGCCGGCGCCCGGCGCGGCGGCGGCGGCGGCCGGCAGGGAGGCCGTCGAACCGCCCGGAGCCGCCGCACCGCCTGCCGGCCGGAAAACACGGAACGTCATTGAGCAGGCAGACAAATGAAATACACTTATGGGTACACATACCTATATAGACCACTTTAACAGCTCATAGCTAATCAAAAGCCATTGCTAAGAAGAACTTTTAGTTAGGGCATGCTTTCAGCGCCTTACATTTATAACATATTAACAAAATAGAATACGTTCATGCTCCTCAGCAGTAAAGCGCGCTGCCGTTCCCGGACAGACCGCCGAGCTTGTCGGACCGCCCGCCGCCGCCCCGCTCTGAGTGGGCTGACGCGGACAGACCCGCCCCGTACCGTGGGCAGCCGGCGCCGGCGCCGGCGGCGGGGTGCCGCCGGCGCTCAGCGCGCCCAGTCGCGCCTGCAGCTCGCCCACGGAGCGCGCCGACGCCAGAAAATCCTCGGACGGGTGCCGGCTGTGGCCCGAGTGGGCCGGGCCGGGCGGCTGCTCGAACGACGCGCGGCTCGTCAGGATACCGCCTGGGGAGCGGGAGGGGGGAGAGGCCGGTCAGTATCGCCTGGACAGGACAGCGACCGGACGGGCCAGCTGTAAACGCCCCGGTGACGACCAAACCTGGCGCACGGAAGCTAATAATGACATTTACAGCATGTTATGTTCCCCAGAAAGTGTTCAACCAGGGGATGTATTCCAAACAACCCAATACCTGGTTTGACCCATTACACAAATGACCTCATGACCCAGACGCCCGGTTAATGGGTGAGATCCAGACACAGGCTCCCCGCGCCTCTCACGTTTCATGAGCACGTCCTGAGCGGCGTATAGGACGGCCTGGTAGGCGAACAGCAGGTGCTGCTTGTCCTGCAGGCAGTTTCGGCGCGCCGTGTTCAGCAGGCGCGCCACCGCCAGCGGCTCCAGCAGGCCGCGGCCGGCGTTGATCTCGGCCATGACGGCTGCCAGCATGCAGAACACGCCCGAGCGGCCCACGCCGCCCGAGCAGTGCACCACCAGCGGACGCAGCAGCGAGCGCTGCTGCTGGTGGTAGTGCAGCACCTGAGCCACGTCAGGGGACGGGGGTTAGCGGGGCCTCCACAGGACGGGAGGGAGCTGGCAGCCGCCTGTCACCAGTCATTATATACCATCAGCTTCCAAATTATCCAATACCCGGTCAAACTAGCCACTCAGTGACCGGACCATGCCCCAGTCCCCGACCCCCCTCAGCCGACCCCCACCTCTGCCACGAACTGGACCAGCGGCGCCGGGCTGGCGGGCAGCGCGGCGCGCGGCCACCCGCCGAACTGCAGGTGGATCACCACGCGCGACATCTTGGTCTCGGCGTGCAGCACCGAGATGATGCGCTCCACCCGGCCGTTGGCCGGCGACTGCGACTGCAGGGTCAGCTGCAGCGGGCCGCGCTGCACGGCCACTCCGCGCTCCGTGGGCCAGTACACCTGCGGCGGCGGACACAGACGACATCAGGCCTGACCAGAGCGCACAGACGGGAGCACAGCTAGTCGCGGCCACACCGCTCCCCGCTCCGTCCCGCGCCGTCCCGCCCTGCGCCCACCTGTCCGTCGAGCTCGCTGTCGGGCAGCAGGCAGACCACCAGCTCCACCTGGTGGTGCCACACCATGCACCAGAAGTCGGTCTGCGTCACGGCCAGCGGCGCCTGGGTGACCAGCAGCGGCGGACTACCGGCGCTCAGCTCCGGCAGGCGGCTGGCGTTAATGTAGTCGTCGCGCACCAGCGGCACCGCCACCAGGCTGCTGTCGAACGGCAGCACATCCTGGAACCGGTTCTTCATCGGGTAGCAGCGCGCCACAGAGATCTTCAGCGAGCGGCCGTCCGCCTGCCGCCGCGCGGGGGGGGGGGGGGGTGTCGGTCAGGGGCTCAGCGGCGGAGGTAGGGCGGGCGGGGTGCGAGCTGACTCAGGGCGGAAGGTGCCGACAGGTAGCGTAGGAGCTTCAGCCGCCGACTTAGGCGTACGTTCTAAGAAGCAGCTAAACTGAGACATATACAAACCAGCCTGATTAATTGCGATATTGCACATGCGATGAAAGTACATGATTGCCTCGTCACTTAAACCACGCATCACTGACGTAGAGGCGTGGTTCAAATCGAGTTGTTGCTACGATGAGCTCCGATCTCACTGCCGTGCGCAACTGCATGACGTTCTAGGCCTGCCTAGGTAGGTAGAGGTCAGTGTGTTACTTGCACAAGCGTACGGCACAATGCAGAACTGTACAGTCTGCGGTGGGGATGGCGGGAAATGTACAGGAAAACCCCCCAGTTCCGGGCGCCAAGCACACAGCTACCCCGACAGGCCCGGCTGAAATCACGGGGACCGAACTCACACCGGGGGGACGGTTAATCTACGGTCAACACCCTGAAATCTCCCACTCACAGCAACATCCGCCGTATCCGAGGTCTGAAAACGCCCCTTGTTACCATATGCAGTGCGTTTGAACCGTATCAGTAACACACGAGCCTTTTGGAAGGGCGACTTCGGGCGGAGATCTATCAGGGAAACACACTATTCTGATACGAGCACTGTTTCACTTCCATAGTTGTAATGACAATATGATGAAATGCTGACGCTATTGGATTATCTTTGCTAGGTCTTAATTAGATGACCTTATAAAAGACCAGAACAGCATGCTCATACTCTGTCTCCGTATACCTACTATTTTGGGTCGGCGCTGCCGACGTGCCATAGCCGCGTGCAGCCTGGTATCCATCCTCACCTCCTGCTGGTCCATCAGCTCCTTCCACTTGCTGTCCAGCGGCGTCGGACCGTTCAGCGACTTCTTGGTGAGGCTGGCCACCAGCTTATCCATCCGCTCCACCTCCTACACGGAAACGGTCGGGTCAGCGGCCGAACGCGCGGACTTACCATGACTAAAGGGATAACTCCAACCAGGCACAGCTCATCAACTAGCCATCAAGCACTCCAGTCATGTACGTGTGGATTGTAGGGTCCACAATTCAGACCTCGTAAACAATCAGCGGCACAGAGCAGTGGCAATGCAGCATCCCGGGCCGGTCGTGACGGACCTGCACGAAGGCCTGCAGTCTGTCGGCGTCCGTGTACGGGTCGCCGCCGGCCGACAGTTTGCGCCGCTCCCGGTCGGCCTGCTGGCGGCGCTCTCTCTCGGCCTCGGAGGTGACCACGCGCGGCTGCAGGGCGGCCGGCCCGGGCGGCGGCGGCGCGCCCACGGAAGGTCCGCCCGCCGACAGCAGGTCCACGCCCGAGCCGGGCCCGGCGGCCGCCGGAGCGGGCGCCGAGACCGGCTGACCGGCCACCGGAGCCTGCGCAGACGGCACACACCACT